GTTGAAAAAGTGTTTGTGAGAGTGAGTGTATGTGAGGATGCGTGTCTGAGAGTGCATGTTTGTGAGAGTGAGTGTATGTGAGGATGCGTGTGAAGTGAGTGTGTGTTGAAAAAGTGTTTGAGAGAGTGAGTGTATGTGAGGATGCGTGTGAAGTGAGTGTGTGTTGAAAAAGTGTTTGAGAGAGTGAGTGAATGTGAAGATGCGTGTGAAGTGAGTGTGTGTTGAAAAAGAGTTTGAGAGAGTGAGCGTATGTGAGGATGCGTGTGTGAGGATGCGTGTGTGAGAGTGAGTGTGTGTGAGGACATGTGTGAGTGTGTGTATGTAATGCGTGTGAGAGTGAGAGTATGAGTGTGTTTTTACCTTTGCACGAACTCTAGCGTTGCTCCTTGGTCTCCTGAGTATGAAATATTCAAGCAGTAGTATGAGGCAAACATCAAACTTCAGAGCATCGCAGAAGATGGTGATGTGGCTGTTAACTATGACTTGGTCGACAGAAATCAAAGTTCTCTGCAGTCAAAGGGGAACTTCCTGTTGTTATGCATAAGAAAAAGAAGAGATCAGTAACACTGTGACAAACTTAAATTCCCGCAAATATTAAATAGTTTTCCTTTAAAAATATTCAAACATACCACACACAATTACGCAGGGTGTACTTGGAAGTTTGGCATGGTCTACTTCAGAGGGCAAGGCTGTCTGATCCACTTCATGGAACATCTAGTCCTCTCTCTCGCTGAAGTAACCAATAGAAATAATTCATTAAAAAGTGACTTAATATTGAGATACAAGGTTTTAATGAGGAGGGATACTAGGCACGTGGCTATGCAGACACCCAGGCCTGACTGTACATACCATTGTTCAGATCATCAGTGTGATTATATCTGAAAGTAAAACGTGCAGTCCAATTAATGTTAGTTAAGCGAATTTCATTATACAGGCGTAATAACCAGTGCTTGAAGAGGGAAAAAGTGCAGACGAACATAAAGTTACTAACGTTCAAATGGCGCTGGGAGGGGTTGGGTCACTTTAAGCGCTGGTCCTAATGAATCCGTTTAAAATAGCAAATAGCATTTTAGAGCTTTTAGACGACGCCTACGATTATGATTATAAAAACTGATTAAAATATTGCACTATGCGTCGAAGTTCGGTAAAGTTGGCAACATATTCACAGATTCAAACTTACCTGATCAATAACTCCTGAGCTAAACGTTCTTAAAACACAAATGACACATCTTTCTAATAACAGTATCGTAGACAACCAGCTAACGACCTAATCTTCCGCGAAACGAGCCTGTTTTTCCCTCAGGGACAATATAGCAGT